AGAAAAAATGGCTTTGGAAGAATATCTGAAGGATAATGAAGAAGATGCACTGAAGTAGTATATCAGGAAGCTTACTGACTATTGGAAGGACCAACAGAATGGAGGCTTGGGAAGACAAAACACTACATGGCCCATACATTAAAAAAATAGGGAAAGCAGATAATGACAGGACTGGCAATGGCTAAGAACAGGAAAGTTGAAAAAACAGACTGAGGAACTAACTCTGGCTGCACAAGACCAAGCCTTAAGGACAAATGCATACAAAGCCAGAATTGAGAAGACAGCAACAGACATTAAGTGCTGCCTATACATCTCTTGATGTTAACCTCTCCCAGTCTCTCACCATTGACTTGCAGCTGTGTCTTCCATTGTGTCATCGATCTTTGCACAAACTTTCTGATGTTTCTATTGACTCCTGTTATTTCTAGGCATTTGATTATCCAATCCTGTGGCAGAGTCTAATGACTTTGTAGTCATTATATTGTTATTGTTGTTATTATTGTTGTTATTGATTGCATAGTCAGCCAAATGTTCAGACTGGATTTGGTATTTTTATCTACAATCTTAGATATCTTACAAAGGACATAGGATGATGATGAAGATGATGATGATGATGATGATATACCACAGCATGAAATCACAGCTGTCAGGTACTATTCCCCCCCCCATAGTTGTTCCACTTTTGTTTTTAGGTCTTCGTATTTTGTTATTTTTTCCAGTTCTTTCTCTTATATTCTGCTTTTTTGTCTTTCTATTGACAATTGTTAAGTCTGGGTCTGTTATGTGGCAGGTGCTTGTCTGTATGAATTCTAAGAGCACTTTGGCTTCTTTGTTTCCTAGGGCTTACTATTTTGTCGTTCCACCAGTTTTTGCTTGTAGGTAAATATATTTCTTGTGAATATTCCAAGGCACCATTGTTACCGCTTTGTCATGTTTGCTCTTTATAGTCAGTCTGTGCAATCTCCTTGCAGCCGCTAACTATTATTTATTCATTTATTACCACCTTTTAAATATGTAACTCAAAGCAATGAACCCAGTTAATGTTCCTGTTGCTTTATCCCATAACAACAACTGAAAAAGAGTGATTGGTCCAAAATTACCCAGCTGATTTTCATGCCTAAGGCAGCCCTAGAGTTTGCTGATTTCTAGGCCAGCACTTTAACCACAGTTCCTCAAACATTATCATATTTTAATTCTGTTTCCTCTTTGAATATTTATTTTAATCAGATTTCTAGTACATAATACATCTCTGCTATTCCTGATTGTCGGGTGTTTCCAAGTCCTGTGAGTCTCTCCTATCCTTCCTCCAAATCAAGGAAGATAAAATGTCTTCAGGTTTCATCATGGAATTTGTGTATTAGGAAAGTACTGGATTCCAGTTTAAACTTCTCTTTGACTAATAATATTTATCCATAGGAGTTCTAGTTTGCCATTAGTTTTGCATGCTTATTTCTTCCTTTGATATGCCTAGAGCTTCCTCATTATGCTGATTTCTCTAGCAACCTATATTCTTCTCCACTTTTACCACTGTCCTACTATCATCCACACGAATTGGGGAAGCTTATAAAAATATTCACTAAGAATCCACATTAACCTGATGGCAATAATCAATCAAGATAATCATATAAACAGATTATTCTATACATTGATGTTTATACATTCTTGCTAAAGTATTCTGCTGCATGTTAACTTAGGTTTTCAATCTTGTGCTGTTCTGCCTTTATTACAATGATTTATACTATTAAAACATAATGGTATTTTAGAAACCTCTGCAGAACTCCCCCCCCCCAAGCAGTAGACCCTGGCTAGTGACTATATAATATCTTTCCACAAAAAGAAGCTACAATGAATAGAAGGTAATGGCCCTTTAATCAAACTCTATTTTAGTCCTATCTTTGTTATTCACCAGGCTCTTGGGAAATAAATCCAGCAAGAACTGGAGTGATATGTGAGCAAGGGGTTGGGCACTGGCAAATGACAAATTGTGTAACTATTCTGCCTTATCACTGTCATAGCATTAAGCAGAAAGCCAATGTAAGTTATAGTTTGATCCATAGGGCTGAACTGATTAACTGTAGAGTTTAATCTAAAAGCTGACTTTATAAAGTAAGTGGGAAAGCAGGAATTTGGTTAGATATTTGTAGAAGTGGCTCACCATGCAAGAGGGGTATTTATAGCAACCTGGACCTTCAAAGGATATACTTAAAAGGCAGATGTCAAGATAGGAAAAAAAAAAATAAAAGTTGCCAATAAATAAGGGGTTGTACATAGTACTATCCCAGACAACATATTAGCATTCGAAAATACATGGACAAATCCTGATTGTTAATGTACAATAATCTAAAAGCCATTACATACAGTTTGGAAGTTGAGGGAACTGGGTGATCTATTTTCTACTTTTTGTTTAGCAAACTACAGAGGGCGCTTCCTTTAAGAGTAGTAACGGTGGCTTGTGGCACAAATCTAAGGAACTGCTGGAGATGAACGTGCCAATCCCACTGGAACCCTAGAATATTTGTGTAATTACTGGCGCCTCAATTCCCCAATCCATCAAAAGCATTGAACGGAAATTATCTTCAAATCTGCTTATCTGCAAACTGAGGGAAAGAAGCAAAAACCATGCCTCTGCCCCAGTCACCCTTACTCCCTGTAAAAAGTAAATATAAAAACTGGTCCCACAGACATTCCAGCCCACATAGGTAGCTTAATGTTCTGTGCGCTGGTCTGGCTGAAGGCAAAACAAACCAATAAAACCCCAGTAGTTCTTACGAGGGGGAACTGAAGCAGCTTCAAGCCTTCTTGCCTCTTGAAAGATCTGAAGACCAGGAAATGATAACAGCAACATAGCAGCGGTTCCTGCAATTAGAATGGATCATGCCACATCCACACTGCAGCATGCTTTGTTTTTTATAAGTTTACTGCAGCTTCCAAGACATTGCAGCTGAAGGAGAAGATCTCAAACACAAGACTGTCCTATGGGATTAGAGAGGTCTCAGGTGGATGTTGAATTGGTACAGCAAGTGTTCTCATAGGCAATGACAGAAGCCTCTCTCCAGAGCAGGGAGCTGACTTCACTGTTTTTACTTTCTCCAACATCAGGGGATGAGAAAGCAGTTTGCAGGTAGAAGTGAGTAGGTAGGTCAGGGAAATCATGATTATACTTCCTCGGTTGGAAATTACTGTAGCAGACAAGGAGAGTTCTAAAGCATTGTGTTTAAGAACTGACCTTATTTGATGTGCTGTTTTTGGTGGTTTGTCCACTTTTTCATGTATAACTTTTGCAATTGTAAAAGAAAAAAAAAGCTTACAATAACTTTGGCAAAATGAATAAAACTCTGCATGTATAATTTTCTTTACTGCACAAACAGGGGCAGTGAAGAACAGCTTTTCATACAAGGGCTATTTGGTGGGAAAAGGGAGCTTGTATTTTTTGCTTTCTTCCTTTCATCAAATTCTGGAGTATAGGAAGTACAAGGAAATCTCTTGAGATTTAAATCTAATAATCTAAAATCTTTGTAGCTAAGCAGATTTCATCCCTTGCAGGCCTACTGTTTACATATTATTAGCAAGGTCATGACGAACACAATGCCAGCAACATAAATGTTTTGGTTAAAATGCACGTAGGGCCATACATGTTTTGAAGAAGTGTGACATTAGAAAAGTAGCCTGTGCTGACTAGTTTACACCGCTTGTGACTTATGTTTACAATTATTATGATTCTGTGAATTATGACCTGTTTATACAAAGTTTATGACCTATCAGAAGAAGGGAGTATGGTGTCTATTGAGTAATATTGGTTAGTTGCATGAATTTTCCAGGTATACTGTGAGTAAGAATATAGTGCAGTTAGAGAAGGTTTAGAGCAGGGGTAGGCAACCTTGGCTCTTTTATGACTGACTCAGGAATTCTGGGAGTTGAAGTCCACGAGTCAAAAAAGAGCCACGGTTGCCTACCCCTGGTTTAGAGGAAGCCAGCTACGGTAAAATGATAAAGGGGGATAGGGATGGAGCAGCTTCCTGTGAGGAAAGATAGAGATATTTGAGGTTTTTTAGTCTAGAGAGGAGGTATAATAGGATGTGAAAAGAGCCTTGGGAAACAAGATTTCCGTATGCAGTTGATTGGCCTCTGTGGGAACAGATTCCTTGACTAGATGGGGCAGGGGACTGATCGAATTGGTTACTGCCTATGTGCTTATTCTATGTTATGATGGAAATCATTGAGAATCTTTTTCTTGTTGTTGTTATTGAAACCCTACCCATTTTCAATTTTTTTTTTAAAAAAGCCAGAATCCAAGTCATTTTCACCAGTCAAGAGAGATCTTGATGCAAGCTTCTTGGCTTTTCTACCTGATTCCTGGCAAGCTTCTTTTAATACTGTCCGATGTTCCAAAATAGTTTGCAATATGACACCGAGGCCAGATTTTCAAATGGAGAAAAAGCTCCTGAATGATGTTTGGGCCCTGGTCATATTCTACAGTGGGAAGCTTTAAGATTAGTTGCTGGTGAAAAGGAACTATGTTTAGCATGTTATAGCAAGTAAATCTTTCATATATTTCCCATTTATATATAAGATTTATTTACTGATTTAAAATAATTTTAGTTTTCATCAGGAGGAAGTAGATCTAAGCAGTACAATATTGAACCTTGTCCCAGATTGACATAGAAATATTTGCAGGTTATGTAGTTTGGTTAATATCAACCTGGAAATAAAGGATGCATTTTGAAAATCCAATTTTTTATTCACAGAAAGGAGAATCACTCTTTTTAGGAAACATAGTTTTGTGGGAGTTAGCAGGAGGGAGTTGACTGGGCAGAAGCTTGTTAACAAGTTTTTTATATAAAATTACTTCATGTTATTAGTTTATCTTTGTATTTTATATATTAATCAAGGTTATTAGTTAACTATTTTTTTAAAAAAACTATGGTCTGTGCAAGAATACAACCTACTTTTTGAATTGCACTAAGCGATGATTTATTTCATACTAACTACTGAATAAATAACAATGCTTGTATTCATATATCACATTAAATCAAATCAAAACAAATTACATTATGTGTTAAAGTGATCTGTGACTCCAGTAAGTCTCACATTTGCTGTTTCTGTTCTAATGTGTGGCAATGCTGTCACTTTGTTCCTATGAGATTTATTTTACATATTCAGTGACCATTTATGTTTCCTCATTAATTCATTTTTTCAACTTGACAATACTGATGCCAGGAAGTCGCTTTGGCATAAAGAAATGGTGACATAAAACCATAAAATATATTTCTTTGGGATTGATGAGCAGAAGGATAAATTAGCTTGGATGAAATACAGCCTGAGCAAAAACAATAATTTACAATGAATATATTAATCTTAATGAAGCAGATATGTGCCCAGATATCTATTTATTAACAAGATACAGACTGATGCCCATTACCTACTTAGTCTTCACATTAAGTTTTCTCTTAACATGGTTATTCAGGTTCTCATGTCTTTTTAAAGATCTTTTAGTTCACTGGGATGCAATTCATATCAGAATATAACGAATATGTTCTTTCTTTCTCTCGTCTTACATCACAATATCTTGACTGTGACTTCCTTCCATAGAGCTGGAAGTTGTATTTTATTTCTAAATTGGAGATGCTTGGATTAAGCCTACTTACAATGAAGTAGCCTGAATTTTTACCAATGAAAAGGCACTATGCAGTTAATCCACTTTCTTCTTCTTAAATGTTTTCAATAAAATAAAAAAGACAAAAGCCCCAGCAGAAAAATATGGGACAATTGTGAATAGAAAACAATTCTTGAATGCGGCAAGGCAATTGTATAAAAAGTCCAAATAACTGTCTTGCCATTTATAGAATATGGCCCTCTGACTAAGTTCTTAGGCTTCAACATGTTTGTTTGTTTGTTTTTGTTTATTAAATTTATAGGTCTCCCATCTCACTATCCAAAGTTGACTCTGGGCAACTTACCATTCATGTTATTAAACTTTGAGCACTACTATTTTGGATTTATCTGGATACCCAGATAAAACAATACTTTCTCCCTTTGCAATACAGAATTAGCATTCTACGTCTTCAGATCCTGGTTACTGTCATCACATTACCTTCATATATTCATACCACGAATTAATCTTCTTGACCTTGACCTCTCCTTCCTCACAGCAACAATCCTGGGGCACACCTATATCAACCACCCCAAAGAGGCACGTTTAAATCCCACTGTTTTCGAGGGAAGGAAGAGCTATGCAGCCGTTTGCATCTCTCCAGACGCAAATTAGCGGTACTTAAAATTGTGACACTACGCCGGGATGGTCCACTATACTTCATCACTGTTTCTTTTTTCCCTAATGTTGTGAATGAGCTTGAACTACTGCAGTTACCGCTTTACTGCAGAAAGAAGCCGCCTCAGATTCCGGACTTCCCTCCGAGAGCCGCTTTTAGGCCAGGAACCAGCCTTCTTCCTTCCCGACATCTCCTGCGGCTGGTCAGCATTTTTGCTGAAGGGCCGCCGCGAGGCGCGCACCGGAGCCTTCCCGCGATAACCTGCAGCCGGGCTGCGCTTTAACTCGAGAAAAGAGGCGCCTTTGCCAAGACTCCTGCAAGGCGTGTCGCCGCCGCCGCGCCCCAGCGCTCTTCTCTTGCCTTTCCACCAGGGGGAGACTGAGCCGGCTCGCAGACGCGCCCCTTCTTTTTCTTCTTGGAAGTTTCCTCTTTAACACGCCGGATTCAAGGAGAACAGCTCCGGCCGGCGTCCCAGGGAAAGGCGAACCCAGCCCTCTCCTCCTCGATTCGAGGTAGACGGGCTCGCCTTGAGAGAGAACGGCCGAGGGCACCGCCGACTGAGGTAGAGGCTGCGTACGCTCGTCCTGCCGCCCGGTACCGCGCATTGTGACCCTGGAGAGAGAGAGCGAGAGAGCAGGGCTTGGTGGACTTTCAATGCCGGCAGAGGCGGTCCAGCCCCGGCAGAGCAACGAAGGGAAACAGAGGGGGACGAGGTAGAGTGGACGGAGGAGGAAGAGGAGGAGGAAAGCCGCGGCTCGGGCTTAACCCTCGCAGCGTTTGAGGGAGGGGGGGGCATAGTTTAGGGGTCGCACGCACGTCCTCCAGAGGAGCGCGCGCGCGTGCATCTTTAGTGTCCGCCGGCATTACAGCGGTGCTTGGGACGAGCCTCTCCGCATCCGGAAAGGGGAATATTTGCACAGGGAATCTCTCTGGGCTGCGCTGTTGTCAAGCCCCTGGAAGAAGGGGGTGGGTGGGGGCGTCTGCCGGTGCAAGATGCATCCTGTTCTGGCCGACTGCTACGCTTGGCCGCGGCAGCTGCGGCACCCGGGGGAGATGTATGCGGCAGCTTCTGACCGCGGCGGCTCCTCCCCCTTTTGCCTCTTTCCTACAGCAGGCCGGCCGGCTGGTGTGAAAGCTCCTTGCCCAGCAGCCGAAAGCAGCCCGGTTCCGCCAGCTCCACCATGACTGCTCCTGGGACGCTAGGTAAGTCTCCGCTGCTTGCTGAAGTAGGCAGACGGGCTTAAGCGCAGAGCTCATTTGGGACGGCGGGAGCGGATTGCAGCCACACCGCTGTCCCCGGGAGGGATGGAAACCACGCTCGAGCACCTGCAGAACTGCTCAGCCCGGGCAGGAGGGAGGGAATCCCCTTCCCGGGCTGAGGCTCCCATCGCTTGACTGCGCTCTGCCAGTTGGCCCCGTTCTCTCTCTCTCTCTCGCTAATCATCTTTGCCACTTTTTTTTCTTTAATGGCTTGTAATATAAAATATTCAAGCTCTACTATCTCGCTCGATAAATGGTCTCGGATTCGACGTCTGGAAAGGGGAAAGGACCGAACCGAGTCCGAAGAGATTAAATGGAGGACAAGTTCATCGGTTTAACTTTTTTTTTTTTAAAGGAAAACATACAATATATACAGTATGCAGGCATTGTTTCTTTAAAGGACGAGACAAAAAGTATCTTTCAAAAACGGCATGCAGTTTATGTAATAATTTCAAGGCTCTCCCGGCATCTTGTTTTTTTATTCATTGTTTCCTGCTATTATTAAGCAACTCATTTCGCTCTGTGTTTTGAAGATTATACTTTGCAAATTATTAATTTGGCCAACATATAGGAGGAAGCAGATGCAGTGACATCATCAGATTTAGCCAGCTTCAGTGGTTCATGAGTACTGCACATCACAGCATCCCCTGAATATCTCAGTGCTCACCAAATTTAATCTGGGAAAGTTTATTTCCATGTGTTTGTGTGTAACAAAGTGTGCTCTGGAAATACCAGCTGCTTTCTTATTTCATTAGCTAGCAAATAAGCCCGGTTATAGTGTTGGGAGTATATATGTATGTTTGTACATACACAAATGTATCTGTGGTATAATTGCAGCAATAAAATCATATGTTATGAAGTTTCTCTTTATCTAGTAAATAGAATATGTATGTGTAATTCTACATAGAACAAAGAATTGTACTTCAAAGTTTGTGTTGTTTGTTCCTTACCAGAGGATATTACTTTGAATTAGAAAATTTTTACAGAGATAGGAATAGGAAAAAAATACATTAGGCTCATTATAAAGAAATATGAAAGTTAAAATGCTTTACTCCCTTATTAAGTATCAGAATAAATCAGTATTTATTAGGATGATCAAAACTATATCTGATTAAAATTAATTTTGGTTTTGTTTCCTCCTGAACAGATGACTTGAAGAATAATCCAATCAATTTTAAAAATCTATTTTAAAACTTTTATTAGGGAAATTAAAGATCTCATTTAACTCTTTCATTAAAATTCATTAAAATGAATGAGACTTTCAGCTCCAATTTTATAGTCATTTAAGCTGAAGTAATCACATTAGCTGTATGTAATTTGAATATAATTCATTTATTATAATTAAATTGGATTTAAATAAAATTTAGTTTTTGTGGGTTTTACCTGTTTCTTGCAACTCTTGAAATATGGTGCTTGGCATATCAGTTCAAGTCCAGATGTTGTATTTGAGTCAAATAAGTTTCCATAGTCCTGCTTTAGGAGCAAGGTGCTTTCATTCAAAACAAATGGAAGCCAGTCCCTGTGATAGTTGTTTGATATAATGAATAAAGTGAAAATATAAAAATGTAAAAAATGGAAAAAAAGATGGGCCTGGTTTATTAAATTTATGCTGTATCTTTTCTCCAGGAGTTTGAGATGTTATTCTTACAACAGAACAGCTCTCTTAGTTATGCAGGGTTAAGAACAGTGGCTAAGCAAAAAAATCAGTATATGTTAGTTCTATTGTGTGTTCATTATATTGGTAAAGAAATCTCTTGGGGAGCAAGAGGGAATTAGGATTAATGATTAAATGCATGTCACGATGCAAACTTCATTCCTTAGGATATTGTGTGTGATATTGTGATGTTGGAGCTAGGTTTCATCATTTCATCATCATGGTAAAGAATAGATGCCCATTCATATCGGCCTCTTTAACCCAAATCTTAAAAAGAGTGCTATTTGATGAAGTGTTTGAAGCACTGAGCTAGAAACTGGGATTCCTAAATTTGCCTTAGGTGCAAGGCCAACTTTGGACCAATCACTACTTCTCAAACTTGGAAGACAGTAATGACAAACCAGTTCTGAAAATATTGTCAAAATTCCAGGGACTTTTCTAGGCCATCACCCCAAGTCAAGATTGACTTAAAAGTACAATTTCCTCAACTCCAAATCTTGAATAGCCAAGTATAAGCCTTCCATCCTTCCAAGGTCAGTAAAATGAGGACCCAGATGCTGACTCTGTAAACGGCTTAGAGAGGGCTGTAAAGCTTGAAGCAGTATATAGGTTTACATGCTATTACTATTAACCATTACACCATACTACTACAGGGTGTAGTGATGAGATTTACAGAAAACAGAATTTCAAATCTATAACAAACTAGTTCCAAATGTTAATGTCTCTAAGTGCATCATTGCAGTTGTTCTGGGCTTACACAAATTGGTAAACCTAAGATTTAGTTCAAGAACTGTATATGACAGCAGGTTAAGATAATAGCATGCAAATGTTTGTTAATTGCAATTTTTGGCTTGTATGTTTTGCAGACATACACTTTGAATGACCCCAAATGCCCACTCATTTTTTCAGCTCAGTTTAGCCTTGGATCTCTGGTCCTAGATAAATAGCCTTTACTGCATTACCTTTAAAGTAATGGATTTTGTGCTGCGTCCTGATTCTTATTACATATGGGTGCAAAACAAGGAAAACTAAATATACTTTATGCTGTTAAATATTTAATTAAATAAATATTTTATTAACTGTAGAAACAGTGACATGAAGCATTGAAATACTGAAATAGCTATTGTAAATGTATGTAGAGTAGTAGGGTGTAGTAATAGCACGTAGACTTATATACTGCTTCAAGTGCTTTAAAGCCCTCTCTAAGCGGTTTACAGAGTCATCATATTGCCCCCAATAATCTGGGTCCTCATTTTACTGACCTTGGAAGGATGGAAGGCTGAGTCAACCTTGAGCCGGTCAGGATCCAATTCCTGGCAGTGGGCAGAGTCAGGCTGCAATACTGCATTCTAACCACTATGCCACCACAGCTCTTAAGATGTTGAACTGGGACTTTACAAGGTTGTGATGGGGAAAAATTGGAAGACAGCATGTTGAATACATTGAAGCTCTTGAAGGAAAGAGGCAAAATAATCAAACAAATAATTCATGTTGAATAGCCACCGTGATGTTTTATTTCTGCTGATTTCAATTGTTTCTGAATCAAATTCTAAAGAAGAGATGATTCCCCAGAATACTATGCCAGCACTGAATTGTGATTATTCAGTGTAAATCTACATTCTTCTCAGTTGTTGCATTTTGTATGGAAAAGGTTAATTGTTTTCTTAAATTTAATCACATGCTGATTATGTTTCTACAATATTGTTAATTTAGTCATGTGCTCTCTAGTCAGTTGACTCTCACACACACCATGTGCAAACAGTACAGGGTTGGGGACAATTTCAACACTCCTGCCTGCTGCAGTTTCCTGTTGTATTTTATCAGTTCGCAGTAGTGCAAACAGTGTTGGCACCACCTTTTAGTGTTTGGGCATGTGGGCAGTATTGGGAGAGATTATCCATGCCCACTTGTCTCAGACCGTTTTCCATCCTCTTTGTGGCTCAGGGGAAGCATAAATATTATAACAGACGTAAGTCAGAGTTCACAGAAGGGACACATTTTCCCAGGGACTTTTTTTAAGGCTTTGAATTTGTCTAAGCACCAAGAAGGAACAGTTAAGTTGTGATAAGCAGCTTGCATGATAGAGTTGATGGAAGGGAGAGGGTTACCTTAGTCCCAAATGGAGGCCTGTTCTGGACCTAGGATAGTCACGTGACATGCTAACACCTCCCAGACCTAGATAAGCAGATCATGCAAACAGGCATTCATCCTTTTTACATAACTGCAGAGGCTTTTTGAATTGCATCTAACACATTTAGGACTAAGGAATGAATATGAAAGCTGGAAAGAAAACATTTCATTAGAAAACCTTTCACACGTATCGCACAGGAAAATTTGAAGCTTATCTAATTTTAGTAATTCCTGCTGAGCTATTCAAGTCTTTAAAATTGGTTTATCCATATAAGAAAAGCTTACTACGATGAATAGAAAATGGAAGAATTTAAGGTAAAAATGTGCTTTTTTGTAAATTATTAGAGTGGTGTGAATTTATTACATTTTATATTAGTAAAAGGAATAGCAGAATTATAATAATTATCTGTCCCATTGTGTGTTTTTCATAGCAGAAATGCCCAGACAATTCACAAAGTTAAACATGTCTGAAGTTGATGAATCTGTGCGAATCTTAGCTGAAAAGGTTTTTGCCAAGGTTCTTCGAGAGGAAGATAGCAAAGATGCCTTGTCTCTTTTCACCGTGCCTGAAGATTGTCCAATCGGGCAGCAAGAGGCCAAAGAAAGAGAACTTCAGAAGGAATTGGCAGAACAGCAATCTTTGGAAACTACCAAAAGGTAGGTTTCACGGGGTGGAAGAATATTTAGTAATGAGGTTGAGGTCTGCTAAAAACAGTTGTTTGATACCATCAGATGTAATATGTGAAGTCTTGTCACTCTCTAGTCCTGCCATTGGCTTTCGTATGGTTTTAGTCTTTTTTGTTGATGTATTCTTCATTGACTGGTAATGTGTTATCCAGTTGCTGTCTTAACAAATACTATAGATATATTTTCTCCATGATGATCTGTCCTTACACTGGTTTTTCAGATGTTTTCAACAGTACATCCCTTGCCACGGTAACTGAGTTTATCCACCATAATGCTGGTTGTCTTCTTCTCTTTTCTGTGAATCCTTATTTACGTGAATAAACCTCTGGTTTATTCAGTTAAACTAAAGGTGGGGAATGCCATTTAGAAATTAAATCAACACATACAGAAAATCTAAAAAAGTGAGCAAATCATGAGTCCAATTGATTTTACTACTTATGCAGGTTATGTGCAAGTATGAGCCTACATAACTTCATTCTTTTTTTCATCTTCCCTGCCAATACCCATTTGGTAAAGGTATATTAAGTTTTTTTTTAAAAAAAATTGCTCACTCTTTGACTATTGTGCAAAGTTCATACATTGTTCCTAAGATTCTCTGTCTTTCTCACCAGGAATAGAGGACAAATAATCAACAAGCAGCTGTAGATGGCTGAGACATAAATACGAAAGATGTTTATGGGCATCACATAATCAGTTAAATGGTCCCTTCTAGTTATGTTTCCTTCTGTCACAATAATTAGCAACTTAATTAAACAAAAGTATTGCTTCTTAATGGAGGAAAATGACTTCCGTTAAACAGTTTACATTGCAATACTATCAATCTTGAAATAAGCTTAAAAATATTGATCATTTGATAAACATTGTGAAATTAAACATTTGTATTGAAATCTCAAAAGACGATTTGTCTAACACTCTTGCAAGGTCTGTATAGTACCATATTTTACAAACCTTAATATTTTTCATAAATACCCTTTTTGAACATTTCTAATGAGATTTCTACATGAGATGGAAGTAACATAGTGAGTTCATGAAATAGAAAAAAAGCCTTTTGAATAAAGAAATGTGTGCATTATTTTTTTAGAAGATTTCTAGAGCAAAGAGTATTGTTGCCTTAAATTGATGTTTTGTTGACTTTAGATTGTATGTTATGTATACCTAGGAAGAAAAGTTTCAAGATGATTCGATCCCAGTCCTTGTCATTACAAATTCCATTGCAAGACTGGAAACCTCCATCAGCTACTCCAGCTGTGTCTCCTCCTACTCCAGTTCTTCCAGGTGCCTTTCAAGCTATCCAAGGGACATATGATGTACCAGAATTTCAAAGAGTTACAATTAGTGGGGATTACTGTGCTGGGGTAAGCCAACAGACAGATTATGGCAATGATTTTTTTCCTTATAAATTTATTATTGTAGATATAACATGAAATTAAATTATTATTTTATGATGTCAGTACTTGCTTGACCATGGGAATTGTGTCCTGGTCAACAGCTTTGTTGCAGTGAATAAAGATATAATATGCTACTATAGATATATAGCATTCCAAATGATACTTTTGGAGTACACAATTTGTCCTGTGGGATTCCTGTAGTAGTTTAAGCCACCTTTATCTTTGCTCTCTTCTTCATGTTAATCCTCAACTGGAGGCATGTACTGCTAAACAACATGACTAGACATTACCTAAAATAGGAAGTCCAAGCATATTTTCCATAGTGACATATATTGGCCTCGTTCCATTTGCAGGATATTATTACTAGGAATATGAATTGGTATGAAGTTGGAGTCAAATAACTAGAGGTCCAGAGGCCCCCAGCTTCAGGTAACAAATAGGATATTACATCTTCACTTGTAAGATGTGTTGATATGAAGTAATGGTGTTCATTAAACTGAAAGGATCCTTTCTAACAAGTCCTCAGAAGTCAGATATCAGCCTAGACCTGAACAGAATTTCTCAAACCATTAATTTCAGCCAAAGTTCTGGAAATAGTTTTACAATTTACTATATTAGCTGAGGTCTTAATCACATTTTTTAAAAAGTTATATTTGAAATCAGTGGATCCTATCTCTGATTCTCATCTCACTGACGTGATAAATCTTAGACAGCAGATAAAAGGTGAATAATTAAATACCCATGTGTACAACATTTTCACACAAGATATTTAATAGGACATTAGTGAGAAGCATTCTGTCACAATTTTCTAGCTTTTTATATGCAGGGAATTCCTTTGAATGAAGGAGCATTCCGTGAATTGACGCCCACTTACATTCTTGAGTAATATAGCCCACATGCACACAGCTGCTTTCCACCCCAGAGCTGGCAGGAAATCTTGCCTATTCTAAATAGTTATACCCCCATAGTGGCACCCTTATTATGTGTCTCAAATATGTCTGTGCTCCACTGTGTTCATGCAATTTTAACACACAGCATTCTTTCTTTTTTTTTTACAAATATTTTTATTTTATTTCATAAACAAACATTAAAAATACAAACTAACATAAAGGGAAAATAGGGAGGGGAATAATAGGACAAGTTAAAAGGTGACAAAAAATACATCAGATATTTTTTAAAAATGACTTCTGACTTATATCAGTACAAAGATAACAACCATTCTGCAATTGAAATGAATATTCAATATTTAAACTGTCTTAGAATGCTAATTATCTCTAGAACAGACATGTCAAACTCACGACGTCACATGACATCACACAACGTATCGGGATGGTTTTGCCATTGCTGGCAATGGGGTGGGCGCAGTTTCTGGATGACACGTCGGGCCCATGGGCCGGCAGTTTGACACCCTGCTCTAGAAAACCAATATGCATACCTTCTTCTCATAATTTTAATCTAACATATAATAAATGATCAAATATGTCTAACCATTATTTAAAAAAACGCAGTAGTAGTTATGAAAGTTGGCTATCTCAACTGAAATTCCAGCCTTGCCCAATAATAGGACAAGTTAAAAGGTGACAAAAAATACATCAGATATTTTTTAAAAAATGACTTCTGACTTATAACAGTACAAAGATAACAACCATTATCATCCAGTATGTGAACCATAAGTTCACATACTGGATGATAACAATCATCCAGCATGTGAACTTATTTATTAGTTGTTCAGTTTATATGTCTGCCCACTTATTGGCTGGCAGGTACAGTAAAAATTGATTACTTCATGCACTACAAGTTTTTTTTTCTTTTCTGTTCTACTGTTGACCAATTTAACTTTAAACCTTGCTTTGAAACTGTGAGTGGACTGGTTAACTGTTTGGCCTATAAATCACTGGCGGAGTTAGGCTATTTGTAACTCTTAAGTTTAATGCTGCTAAACAGATGGAATTTGAGAATTGGTTAGCTGTGAAGGTGAGCATAGGAATTATAAATTACCTTTAGAATGTAAGAAGATGAAGAATGAATCAGGGATTACTTGGGACTGCACAGAAAGGCAAGTCCTAACCCCACAGGCTATAGAAAAGGGGTGTCAAACTGCCGGCCCACGGGCCGGATGCATCATGACGAAACTGCACCCACCCCATTGCCAGCAATGGGGGAAAAGCTCCGATATGTCATGCAATGTCATGGGATGTCACGAGTTTGACATGTCTGCTATAGAACCTCAATAGCTGAGCCTTTTCAGTTATACTGTCCACTAATGCTGTCAACCAGGACTTTACACTAAATTAATTGGTTGATCAATTTTTTTTAATTTTTTTTTTAAAGGTGGCTGCAAAAGTTCTGGTCTCTTTTTCAACCAAAAGAGAACCAGAGCATGGGTAAGGAGTTCAGGGACGAGATGGGAGGGAATTATTCCATGGAAAAGAGGCAGAATTGGAATCACAAGATTTTAGTTTAAGCCATCCTTGGGCACTGTCCCCTGTGGGAAGATGGTGAGATAGAGACTATGGCACGTTTTTGGAAAATGATTAGTGGGCTGACCTTGCACCAGGCAAGGAGGCTATTGGGATTTTCCTGTAGTCTGGCACAGGTGTATTGCTTCAAAGAGAAGCACACTTTACTTCCAAGTACATTCATTGTGGATTAGGATTATGCTCTTAATTATTAACTGTATAACCTCTCCCTTTAGGTTACAGTTGATGATTATGAACAAGCTGCCAGAAATTTAGCAAAAGCTTTACTTATTCGAGAGAAGTATTGCCGCTTTGCTTATCATCGTTTCCCAAGGACAACAGCACAATATTTATGCAGTATGAAAAATGAAAAGTGGAAAATTGAAGATGAAATACTTCCAGGTAAATTATCTCTAATTAAAAAACAATGCTTTGATTTCTGGCCAAATCCCACCATTGAGCTAATTCATAGTTTCCTTAAACCTTGGTTTATTAAACAAAATGTCATGATCCAAGTAGTATTTAGCTTTAAAGCATGTCATTTCTTAAAACCATAATTGTACTCAGTGACAACAAATGAAATTATTAATTTTTTTTCAACATGTAAATCTAGCCATAGGTATTTATTTACTTATTTAAGCAAAATAAGCACTTAAAAAGTGGTAGAAGTTCTAAAAAACACCTGCTGATATATTTTGCAAACATAAATTACAGTATAGTATAGAAATCTGAAATCTGTTTCCAGCATAATATTTTATCCATGAAATACCATGACATATCCAAAGCTTGTTCATTAAATTGCAGCTGGATTACTGATTGTTCAAAGCTGTCAACTCTGTTTTATAAGCCACATTCATGGAACAAGCTGAGCAAAAAGCAAACTAACCAAATAATGGCTTTAAAAAAATGGTAACCTGGAATCAATTAAGATTTTAAAATATATTCAGTCTGATTAACACATGAAAAGACCCGTTATATATTTTCTTCCTTTCAAATAGGATTAGTTATGGATCTCTAATTAACACTCACCCATCCAAACCATTTCCTCTTCACAACCTGTTTTCCCTGTTACCTTCTGGGAGGAGGTTTCGTGGTATCCGAAGCAGAACATCCAGATTCAACCAGAGTTTCATTCCATACAGCATTAACCTTGCGAACTCTCAAGCTTCCTCCTTCCGTTATATATTCAAGATGGACAATATTTAATATTTATTTGCTATGTATATGTAGGGATGTGGGTCTATACATATGTTGTTCATAGTATGTTTAGGTGTGTGTCATGTATGTGTTTCACTTTGAGAGCGGGCAACTAAATTTCATTTTTGATGTGTGCCATTGTGCCCACAGTATAAAAATGACAATAAAGGTTATCTTATCTTATCTTATCTTATCTTATCTTATCTTATCTTATCTTATCTTATCTTATCTTGATACTCATAAAATCATGCTGATTTCTAAGGACATGGACACAGACTAATGTAAGCATATTTTAGTAAATATGATATAGATAGCTGTAGGCAACTGCTGTGCACTACATTTTTAGATGGAGGAATTTCCTACTGTATCAACAAAAATAAGTATTTGGTTTTAGTTTTTTTCCTATGAATTAAGAAGAGTTTGACATGCCAAAATAAAACAGTTAATGGTACTTAATGTAAGCAAAAAAAAACATATTCTGCTATATTAATGTGGAGATGCAGTTACAGATATTAAAATAGGGTATCATTAAGTGAGAACTTAATTCCCCTTTTTAAATCTTTGGAATAGTGAATACTTTTTCTATATCCTAACCAGATTTGGTTGGCCCTTTCTTGGACTGAAAGGTGAAAAATAATCTTAAATATTAGAAGGGTCTGCATGGAGGGGCAAGGGGAACAAACAATGAAAACAGCACAAGCTCTGCCTCTACAGTGTATCTGCCATGATGTGAAACTAACATGTTGCTATCATTTGATACAAGTGCTGATACCTCTTTAATTACTTTAAAATTGCTTCTAAAATTTATTTGGGTTTGAAAAATATATAGAGAGAATGACTGCTTACAATATGAAGCTGTATGTATTTTTTTCTTCCTTCAATATATGAATACACTTTGTTGCATAGTAAAATATAGTTAATAATAAACCAATGATTTATGTAGCTGCTGGATGGTACTCCATATATTTTGATTAATAAATATCCTTGAACTACTTAGTGTGAAAGCAAAGCTACTGTTTCATAATAAGACCAATATGATATAGCATACAGTTCTTTTTAGAAAAGCTATTGGTTACTAACAATTTAATTTCCAGTTACAATAGAATGAGTCTGTATTTTAAATGATGCTAGAATGTTGGACCTTGATGTTTTACAGATTTCCATCCACCACCAAAGGAACTACAGGATCCTTACAATCTTGATGATTCTCCAGGGAACTTGGATTATGTTGTAAAGATGAAGGAAGGCATCTTTTTAGTTTTTGAAAATAAAGACATGATGGAACTTAATGAACCACGAAGTTTGCCTTATCCTGATCTACAGACCTACACTCTTGACCTCAGCCATGTACTGGCTCTTATTGCCAGTGGCCCAACGTAATGGTTCTTTTTAATTTTAACTATAAGGCTAGGATATTAAATACTTTATTAATCATAATGCTGCAGTTGTTCTTCAGCTACTTCTGTTTGATGAAGTTCTAGAACCCTAATCCTATACAAGTTTATTTAGAAATAGCTTTAACCTGAAAATACATTATTAGGTGCATGTAGAGACAGCGGAAGAACAGTATGTGTAATATCTGAGTTGTGGTAGTGGCTTAGGTTAACTCCCAACATTTTCTGAAAAGTAAATATAAATAAATGTTCCTTAGTTAGAAGAATGGAAATGACCCATCGAATGTGAAACAGTTGTTTTAGTGTGAAATAGTGCATTTTGAACCTGAATTGGAATGCTTCAAATTTAAAACAGTTCTAGTTCAAAGTTAGGGCATATCAAAAAGATAAGATGGTGCATACAACTATGAGATCAGTCCTGCCCCTTTTTTACATACAGGGGACACATTTTAAAAAGGACTTGTTTCACTTGTGTACTCACAACTGTCTTATTTATATTTTGAACGTTGTCCATGGAGTCGCGATGGGTCGGACACAACTTCGCAACTAAAAACATTGCAGAGGTCCCTGACCTGTATTACTTGTATATCTGATTCCCCAATAAATATATGTTATTTAATGTAAAACAATTCTTTTCTATATAACAGGGGTCCCCAACCCCCGGTCCGTGGATCAGTACTGGGCCACGGCATGCCAGCAACCGATCTGCACAAACAAGGAAAGCTTCATCCACAGGATGCAGGCAGCAAACAAAACCACGCCCCCTCCGATCTGTAAAAAAAAACCTCTCTCCATGTAACTGGTCCCTGGTGCCTTAAAGGTTGGGGACCTCTGCTATATAACATAAAAGTATAATTAACCAATGATGATTCATCTTTCACAGGAAAACATATTGCCACAAGCGGCTTAACTTTCTAGGATCTAAGTTTGGTTTACATGAAATGCTAAATGAGATGTCTGAACTAAAAGAACTGAAGAGTAACCCTCATCGAGATTTTTACAATGTAAGAAAGGTAAGTGAAAGATTATGCAATTATTATTCTTCATTTTTTTACATCTAGTCTCCCCAATCACTGAAACTGTCTTGTCATATATTAAAATGTTGTGGTATGTCTTGTAATCAGTCTCACTTGTTAAAGCCCTTTGGTGTACAGTTAGCCATATCTAAAGTTGAATCTGGTGGCAGAACACAGATAGTGAACAGTGAAGGAATAAAATACTAAGGAGTTATAACTTCATTTTTTTCAGCTAGTTTAAGAGAGTAGTAACTGAGGAGGAAGTATGGAATATGTAGTAGAACACCATAGAAAATAAATGTGCTTATCTGAAGATCTGTAGAAGAGGCTGCAGTCTAGACCTTTGTGTCAGACCATCCTATTTGAGCTTCGTAGCAAGTAAGCCAGTAAACAGGAACGTATAGACCACCAACAGCTTTACTGCGATATTGGAAATAAAGTTGGCGTCTAATATACCGTACACGTGCCCCACCCTAAATCCGCCCCTCCCGTGCTTGGCCCCACCCTATCGCCCCATCCACCATCCAATCCCCAAGCGCCAACCCCACCCATTAGTGTGTCCGTTCTGGCCCTATGCATGAGGGCGGCTTGGCAACTGTCCGGACGACGCCCACTGCCCGCTGCGGCCCACTGACTCGTCGCGGCCCCATGGACTCGTCACGGTCCCTTGGAACCGGCTGGTGGCACCTGGAAGTTTGTCGGCCCGGCGAGCCGTTCTCAGGTAATCGGGCTGGATACGACCAGGCCTCGCAGGGTGCAACACTTTGCATGTGAGAGATCTAGAATGAACAGTTGATAGATATTTTAAATTTTACTCCAATAGTTTTGGGTAATACAAAAGTCATAACTACTAGTACCCTTGGGATGAGGTGGAAGTTATTAATGTTCTTAATCAATAATATATATTTTCTTAGACATCTTTTTTCAGTTTATTCAGTCATCTTATTTACTTAGATATATTTCTATCAATTTATTTAACATTTTATAACTCAAAGAATAATCTGTATATGTATTTACTCAGCAGTAAATACATATACTTAAGAGGAAATAAATAGTATAATGCTGAAGTTCAGTCATATCTCAGTTGCAGTCTTTAGAGATAGGTTTTGTTCATATGAGTCATATGGTAGTTAAAAATATTTTGTTTACTCATTCTAACATAATAGAATATTAATCCATGCTTATTTTCACATGCCTGTATTACAGTCCTTGCTGTATTTCTGCTTGTAATATCCAGCTATTTGGATTATTGACATTGGTTTTTCTAGAGAATGAATTTATTATATACATAAAATTGGTCTATGAGAATTAGAATCAAAATAGAGCTGGAAGGGACCTTGGAGATCTTCTAGTCTAGTTCAACCCCTTGCTCAAGCAGGAGTCTCTATATCATTTCAAGCAAGTGGCTGTCCAGTCTCTTCTTAAAAACCTCGAGTGATGAAGCACCCACAATGTTGGAAGGCAAGCTGTTCCACTGGTTAATTGTCTTCACTGTTAAGAAGTTTCTCCTTAATTCCAGGTTGCTTCTCTTCTTGATTAGTTTCCATCCATTATTTCTTGTCTTGCCTTCTGGTGCTTTGGAAAATAAATTGACCTCCTACTTCTTGTGGCAGCCTTTCAAATACTGGAATACTGCTATCATGTATCCCCCCCCCAGTCCTTCTTTTCTCTAGACCAGTGGTTCTCAACCTTTTTAATGCCGTGACCCCCCAACCGGTCGTAAGTCGAGGACTACTCAACCGGTCGTAAGTCGAGGATTACTCAACTGGTGCAGCACCGTTTGCAGAATGGGACTTTTGGCAGGCTCAGCAGGGCAGAGACAGCCTGGACAATTCCTATTGGCTTTTGAAAGCCAATAGAATTAGACTCTATTCAAGAGAGTCTATTCTATTGGCTTTCAAAAGCCAATAGAATAAAAGGGAGTAGCACAGCTAAGGAAAAGGGGGAAAAAATGGCGGACTGCATTGTTTGGCGACCCCCGTGAAATGGTCGTTCGACCCCAAATGGGGTCCTGATCCACAGGTTGAGAACCACTGCTCTAGACTGACCATTCCCAAATCCCGCAACCGTTCTTCATATGTTTTAGTCTCCAGGCCTTTAATCATCTTAGTTGCTCTTCTTTGCACTTTTCCCTAAAGTCTCAACATCTTTAGTACTAAGGTCTTCTAGTAATCTAACACAGGGGTCCTCAACCTTGGTAACTTTAAAACTTGTGGACTTCAACTCAGCCAGCTTTGTTGGCTGAGAAATTCTTGGAGTTGAAGTCCACAAGTCTTAAAGTTGCCAATGTTGAGGACCCCTGATATAACAGATGCCTCACTGGGTCTAGTACTCAAGGAAGAAAATGAGAGATATAGAAAAACTCCTGTTATGATTGAAAGGGGTGTGGGGAGAGGGGGCATGAAAAGGGTTAGTTTCTCTTTTACCTATATCATTTCCTCCAGGTCTTCTGTGGAAGAGGCGGAGCCTCTCCTAATGAGCTTTTTCAAGCTTCCTCTTGTATAAGAGGAAGAATTAGATACAGAATTAGAGAACTAGCAACAGGTTTGCCTAATTTTTCTTCCTCCAGTCATTTCCCCATTTAATAGATTTTGGTAACTTAGGCCAACTGTAGAAATCTAAAAAATGGTCACAAGAGAAATAATTGATATCATTGGAGAAAAGGGGAGGTGCAAAGATAAGTAAAATAAAGCATTCTATGTAGCATTTTACTTTGTATGCTGACTGTATTTTTATATTTTATTTTATTTATATAGGGTGAACAGAATTGCTTATTATAGTGAGGAGAAATAAAGACTAAGAATAAGGGAAATAAGCAAAAACACTTTTTTTCCTCTGGCAAGGCAGGGTGGAAATAGTGAATTCTGCAGGCACTAAAGGAGATTCTTATATCGTAAAATATCTCTGTTAAGCCTCTTTCAGGACTGACCCAGATGGTATGCAGTTTCATGTTTATTGACTATCACAAGAGGCTAATAATGTTTAGTACAAGCATTGCATATGAGCAGAGGGGACAGAGTGACCTTGCTTGGGAAGGAATGATATAAACATTGCCCTCATAAGATTACTCTGAATTCTAGGAAGTCCTTACTGTGACTGATGTACATGCAAGTTATAAGACAAGCCCAGAATAAACTATCCATAAATCATCCAGTAATAAACTACTCAACAAGTATTTGAGGTTGCTATTTAGACCAGGGGTAGGCAACCTTGGCTCTTTTATGACTCCTGGCTCAGGAATTCTGGGAGTTAAAGTCCACGAGTCATAAAAGAACCAAGATTGCCTAGCCTTGATCTAGACTGTGTAGGTGTAACAGGATTTTTTTTCCTCCAAATAGATGAAAGCAAAATAATACATCTAAAATGTTCTGTTATACATTGTAATGCTATTGTAGAGACCTTTCAGATTTCAAATCAGATTATTACAACATACAACAAGTACATAATAAAGGTAATCCTCAACGTACAACCATTTGTTCAGTAAAGGCATTGAAAAAAGTGGCTTATGACCATTTTTCACATTTACGACTACTGCAGCATTCCCCTGGTCACCTGATCATTTTTTGGGCTTTTGGTAACTGGCATGTGGTTATGGTAGTTACACTGTCCTGTGATCATGTGATCACTATTTGTAATCTTCCCAGCTGGCTTCTGACAAAGTGAATTGGAGAAAGCCAGATTCACTTAATGACCATAAAGTTCACTCAACAACTGCAGTGATTTACTTAGCAACTGTGACAAAAGGGTCATAAAATTGGGGGAGGGGAATTCACTTAACAACTGCCTTGCTTAGCAACAGAAATTTTGGGCTCCGTTGTGGTCATAAATCGAGGATTACCTATAAAATAGCAGTCAGTTAAACCAATTAAAAATCTGATCATGGAAGAGAGTGAATTGTGTATTTATAGTATTTCATTGTCTCAGAATTACTGTCACTTATAACTAGAGTTGCTGATTGCTTCTATTGCTAACCTAGCAATATATGTCAAATGAATGAACATCTTGAGTCTTCAGAATCTACTCTGAGAGATTAGAGAACCTTTTAATAAGAATAATAAGAATGCAATAGCTTTGTAATATTGGCCAATGTAAATCTTTCACCATAGCCTCCTCCCTCCCTCCCTCCCTCCCTCCCTCCCTCCCTCCCTCCCTCCGTTCCTAAATTTTTATGCTGTCCATTTCACTGATACAGCAATTCGGCTGCCTTACAATATAATGAAAAATAAAAAAGGCCAAACAAGGAAATTAAAATTAGGACAGTAAAATAGGAAAGTTAAAAACCAAGACGATAGGTGGCCTGGGAGTGGGGATCTTCCCTACCTTGTCATCCACCCCCAATACAACATGCCTCTGTCAGGGTCCCAAGGCAGGCAGCAGAGCCAAGTTTTCAGGTTCTTTGGAAGACCAGGAGTGTAAAAGTGGACCTCACCTCCAGTGGGAGAATATTCCAAAGGGCAGGCGCCACAGCAGAAAGGTCTTCTCTTAGACCCCCCACCCATCTTCCACCCAAAATTCCTTGGTTGATAGGATCCAAAGTAGATCTATTTCACTGAAATGAGTGAGGACCCATGCAATAAAGGACTTTAAAGGTAAAGACCGAAACTTTGAGTTGGACATGGAAGGAAATTGGTGACCAGTGCAGCTTGTGTAACAGCGTTGTCATATGTGCAGACCTCCAGAACTTTCTGCAACACTGCATTCTGTACCAGTTGTAGCTTCCAAATAATCTTCAAGGGTAGCTCCATGTAGAGCACATTGCAGTAATCCAACTGAGAGGTGGCCAGGGCATGAGTGACTTCACAGGGCCTCACAAGACGGGAAAGAACAAAATTGCTGCACAATACAAAGTTGTGCAAAGGCTTTCCTGGTCACGGCTGCTATCTGCTCTTTGAACAGGAGTCGTGAGCCTAGAAGAATTCCCAGATCTGGGGTATTGCAACCTCATCCAGAGCTAAAGATGATAAACCAGCAGATCCCCAGGCCACATAAATCCACAG